TTACAAAAAATCAATATCAGGTTAGTAGGGGTTCTACCCAAAACCGAAAAACATGGCAAGTGGTCCACGACACAAAAAAGTTTGGGAACCTCTGATGTAGAGCATGGTATCTGGTACATAAATTTACAGGTACCACTTTTCGAAATGCTTATGGGCTTTACAGCAAATCAAAGCTACATAAGTCCTCAAGTACGTCTTCATGTACGGCAAGACCTTATCTTTCACCCACTCCTCCGGTAAATCATCACCCCAGTCTTCTTTAACCATGAAATCGCTAAAAAAACATTGATTTATTCTCTTCTTTTTGCAATTTTTTTTAACTGTTTGAAGGGCCATTTATAAACATATCAAATTTATTATAGACTGTGGTGCTCACTCCAGCTCGCTTATATGACGTCACATACAAGCCCGGTACGGTGCGCCCCACTCCAGCCCGTAGCTGGTATTCCGGGAAGGTCTGATAAGGGTACTACCTGGTTAGGGTATATAAGCGGCAACATATCTGTACCCGCTCTCTTAATGCCGAAAGAGCTAAGGCTTACAAGGGCATGCACCTTTAAATAACTAATAATGTAACATGTCTCAATCCGAATAAATAAACTGAAATATATACCCGCTCTCTTATTATTTCCTGTCTTCTCTTCCGCTACTCTTGTGTCTTAATAACAAGTTTCTCTGTATTATCTCGTGAGTATTCTCCTGTGATGGCTCTCGAGCCTCGGAAACATTATACTGTAAGAACCCTTTGTATCCTATGTATCATACTGTATTGTATCTAGCCATGATATAACTAAATAAACATTATACTACGAGCATCTCCAAAAGACTATCAAAATGTATGCCTTGACATACCAAACAAATTAAAGGGCAATTTCTCTTTCCTAGACATTTTATAGAAAATTATAAAAATGCCCAACTAGGCTCAAAAGGTGGTACAATGCGTGTACATTGTGTGTGCATTGTATCGCCCCTGTAAGAGTTAAAACAGCATCTTTTTGTTACTACGCCTCACTTGAAAAACATATTACCTACCTTTGCTTCAATTTTGAAATACTATGTCAGTATACTTGCAATTTGTTTTCCTGTGAGCGAAATCCCAACAAAGCTGTTTTAAAATAACCTTTGATTCTATTTTCATGATGACCACCTTACAGTGCCGCGTGCCTAATTGCTTCTTAGCTCCACACGGCCCTGACAATAAGGGTATATGCTATAACACTTACGTGATTTTCCTTATGTGCATATTACCAAAAGCCCCATGTCCAGGAGAAGGTGATTCGAATCCCACAAATATACAGGTGCGCAGAGGAGTTAAAACGAAAGTGGCCGTTTTGTGACTGTTACCCTTGTCGCAGATAATGTTGAACATGCACTGAAACA